CACCTATGTGAAAGACTATGATGATTGCCAAAGATTAGGGAATATTTATGCAACGAATGAAATGGCTCAAAGAAGCATCCAAGTGTGTGAAGTATTTGATGTTTGGGGTATAGATTTCATGGGGCCATTTCCATCATCTAAGGGGCACAAATACATACTTGTAGTAGTGGACTATGTATCAAAGTGGGCAGAAGCACAGGCATTACCAACAAATGATGCAAGGGTTATGGTAAAGTTTTTTAAAGAAATTATTTTCTAGGTTTGGAGTACCAAAAGCTATGATAAGTGATAGGGGAACCCATTTTGCTAATGAACAATTAGCAAAGGTATTGCAAAGATATGGTGTACGCCATATCTTTTCAACACCTTATCATCCACAAATGAATGGGCAAACTCAGATCATGAATAGAGCACTCAAGAGAATTTTAGAAAGGTCAGTGGGCATTTACTGGAAAGATTGGGCAGATAAGTTAGATGATGCACTTTGGACATTCAGGACTGCATTCAAGGCACCCATTGGAACTACACCTTATAGGTTAGTCTATGGAAAAAATTGCCATTTGCTAGTGGAGCTGGAGCACAATGCCTATTGGGCTTTTAAAACATGGAATTTTGAACCAAATGAGTTGTGTGCTAATCGACTCTTGCAAGAATATCTTGGATGAATTGAGAAATGAGTCTTACACTAACTCGTTGAATTATAAGGAGAAGACAAAATATGGCATGATGCAAGATTGAAGGATAATAAGGAATTTGAAGAAGGGAAAAAGGCTCTTTTATATAATTCAAGTCTTAAACTTTTTCCGGGCAAACTACACACTCGTTGGACCAAACCCTTCTGAATTAAGCATGTTTTTCCATATGGGGTGATTGAATTGTGGAATAAAGATGGCATAACTTTTAAGGTCAATGGTCATAAGATTCCGAAATATGAAAAAGGCATGCTCAAGGAAGCAGAAATTGAAGAAGGACTAGATCTTGAGAAGACCGCTACAATGTAGGTAGGGAAGGAGTCTAACTAAAGACTCCTCAAAAAGAAGCCCTTGCGGGAGGCAACCCGACATTTGAGTTTGTTTTCTTTTTATTTTTCTTTTTAGTTTTTCATTTTATTTTTGTGTGTTTTATTAAGATTTTTAGTCTTTATCTTCCAAATTTTCTCAAAATATTGTTAGGAGGATTAGCAAAGTTGAGTGTGGGGTGGTGCTTTATCTTCACAAAGAAACCAAATTTTATTTAAAAAAACTCGTCGAGTTCTAGGTAACTACTCAATGAGTCCATTTCAAAAATCTTGAAAATTCGGTTAAACCCGTGTTAACACGTCGACTTGGGCTACATCTTGATGAGTTGCGTTTTATTACCAAAAAATTATATATTTTTTATTGCTGTAAGTTAGGGTTTTTACCCTAAAAGGTAAACTCACATCTCACAATCTTCACCCCCTCATTCTAGTCGACCAAGAATCCTCCCAAGCAACTTCTTCCTATATTGTCCTTTCTCCTTCAAATTGCTTCAAAAAGCTAAGACTTTTAATGCATATTTTTGTTAAAATTTCAATTTTTAGTGGATATATGGATCCATTTTGTTTAAATAGGATGTTTCTACTAGTTTTATCCATGGATTCTTGCTTATTTTGCTATCTTAGACAAACCCCTGAGTGAAATTTTGTGTTAAATGGTTGGATTTATTGAACCTGAGAAGGATTTTTTCGCACCTGTTGTAGAACTCGACGAGTTTATGTTGCTGTATGATAGTTTTATTTCTTTTAACATTTTCTGTGTTTGTTTGGTTTGCTATGACTTTGGTATTGTAGAATCATGTCTAGAAGCAGGAATCAAAGTTCTCAAAGAGGTCAAGGGGGCTTTCCATGAGTTGATTTTCCTCAAATTGGCTCAAAAGTAATCTTGGTGGCATGGAGGAAAAACTTGGAAAAACTGAAAAAGAAAGAGTTATATTTGCCAAATGAGTTGGATTGTCTAAGTTTGGAACAATGGGATTAGATGGAGAAATGAATCGTTATCTTACTAAGGTTTTCATTCAAGATGAAGTGAGGGTTACATGTGATGCTTGGAGGCAAATTTTCCAACTACAAGAGCTGGTTTATCAAGAATTGTGCTGGGAGTTTTATTCTACTATTACATTCCATGGGGGCGATAACTACTTTGACACCAGTATGCTTACTTTTATGCTTGGGGGCGAGTTTAGAGAGTGTGGTATGGTGGAATTAGCATGAAGAAAGGGTTTGTACGAGGAGAATGTAGCTATGAAAGAAGATTTTCGGATATTTTTAGAAGGATGTCACAAAGATTTTCCCAATGAAGATGTGGCGAGATGGTGGCATACAATTTTCAATGGGGTTTATATTCCATCCGCGGCTCAAGAGGCGAGTATCCGGTCACCTAACCATCGTCTTATCCACCGTTTCATCTCCAGTTCCATAAACACGCGCAGAGATGATGATAAAAGTGTTAAGCCGAGATGACTTCTTCTTATGGTGCATTCTTACACCAAACATATTTTGCAATATTCCATATTGCTTGGCAAAGTATTTGGCAGAAAGTGGGGTGACGGATAGGACAACTTCACGGATTTGTGGTGGAATGTTTGTAACTATATTGGCAAGGTCGTATGGAGTCCTTGGTGGAAGAGTTGGGAATCAATTAACAATGGTGCCACAACCCGCTTTTAGTCCTCTTCTTTATAGTACGGCTAGGATTATTGAAGATTATGGCGGGGGCAATTTTGGTGTTCCTGGGATTGATGAAAATGTGACACCCGAACAACCGGGAAGGAGGGTTCGTCCAAGACAAGACCACATGCAAGATGATCCTACCATCATCCCAATAAATGATGAACTTCCCATGGACCCTTATAATGTTGAGCTAAGGGTATTCCAAGATGAACTGGCACAAAGTTTGAATTATGGTCATAGAAATTCTTTCCATATGATGCATCATTTGAACATACCAAGGATGAATGATGAGCCCGACTTTCCGTATGTGAGGGGTTGGAACGAGAAGTGTAGTGCGCGACAAGGTGGAGTCGGAGGAAGTGGGTTAGGAAGAGATGAGAGTGAAGATGAAGACTAATTATTTTATCATATGTATGCTTGGGCATTTAACCAATAATCACTTGAGGTTAAGAAAGTTTTTTGGGGATGGATTTGGAGGGATGCATAAAATGAGCAATGTTGAAAAGAAGTGGGTGAGTGTTTATGAGGATTGTGAATATTTAGAATTGACGGGGGTCTTTAGGAAAAAATTTAAACACAAATGCATGCGTTGCGGTCTTGGCATAATGGATGAGTTCGATTAGGATTGTCTAGCATGATATTGGTGGGATAAAATTCTATTTTGCTTAGGGGCAAGCAAAAGCCAAGTGTGGGGTATTTTGATATGGGCATATTTAGTTATAAAATTCATGCATTATCTTAAGACTTTATGTTGTTTTTATATCATTTTATGGACAAAAGGTATTTAATTAGCTTAATATTTCAATTTCATCAATTAAACACATGCTCGGGTGAAAAAGAAAGAGGATTAAGCGATTGGCAGCTTGGAGATCGAAAGAAGGTTGAAATATGTATAAACTCGACGAGTTGGTCAGAATATTCTCGATTCAAGGATGCCTTGCCATACATGTTCGATACGCGAATTATTGAAAAAACTCATCGAGTTGGTCATGAAAACTCGACGAGTTAGGTTGATTTTTGGCAACTATAAATAGATAGCATGTATGCCCGAAACCTTAACTTTCTGGAGGCTAGCTATGATTATTGAAGACCAGAAGGATTCTTGAAGTTTCAGTTCTTGAGATTGCAACATAAGAGACAAGTTAAAAGAGAATCAAAGGCAAATAATTGTTATTCTTTTATTAATCTTTGTTTTGAACCATGTTTGAATCATTAGATTTTGATTTTAGGTTATTACTTGCAGTAGATATGAGCTAAAAGCTTTTTACTTCTGTTTGGATGAGATAATCTTATGAACATGGTTTGATTGAGTGGTTGCATTAATATTAATTTGGTTATTTATCTTGTTTAGATTTTTAAAGATCCTTATGTATTGATGATAAATATTTTCTGTAAATAAGTGAGCTATTAAGTTGTATGAACATCTGATTGATTACTTTTTTCATATAGTTTTGTGAATACAAGACTGTATGCCGAGGAATAAAGGATATGAAACTAGGATTAACTAGAAAATATGTAAATAATTGTGTGAGGAACAACCACATATGAGTTGATTGAGTTGAACAAATTTGGTTAGCTATTATTGCAAGTCTTACTTGATACGAACTAAACACTAGGAAACTCGTTAGTTTAATCACTTGATCACTATTTGAATTAACTTGTCTACTAAAGGATTGGTAATAATGAACATGAACCCAATCACATTAGGAATTGGTAACCATTGACATATTGATCCATTGCACTTGCCACGAAATCAACCATATGAATAAGTGAGTCAAATCTAAACAGAAGTCTCTTTTATCATTAAATCTAGTTGTCCTTTCTTGTTCTTCTTAGTTGTTAATTGTCTTTGTTTGAGATTTAATTGAGTGCTTAGGTTTGTAATCTTGCAAAACTAGAGAAACCCCCCTATTTTATTAATTGGTTTAATTATATTATATTAGTATTTAATTTTGCTATTATCATTCCCTGTGTTGGATACCCTACTTTCTTGAACTATACTATTAATCGATAGGTACACTGCCTTTCGTGTCTTTAATTTGTGTTTAAAGTAATAGGATTAAAACTAGTGCGCTTTACACACATCAACCGAAACAACCACCATAACCACGAATACACCACCATTAATTGTAAACGTATCTGATACGGGGGTAGGTGCTTCTGGAGTTACGATCGGTCCTGGTTCTACTCCATCTCACTACTACGCACTGATGATCTAGATACCATCTTTGTAAATGATCATGTTGATTTCCAAGATTTTAACTATAGTTCATTAAATGTTCAACCATCCAGTCATGACCAAGGTGCACCTATGATGAAGGGGCAATTCAAATCCCTCAATGAAAAGTTGGATACTCTTCTTGAGTCTTCCAAAACTTCATCAAATACTGCATACTCTTACGAGTCTGTCAAATCTTTAATCGAGACCTTCACAAAGGAGCATGCCAAAAGTCTCGATGCTTCTACTAAAGCTGTAGAAAATTCCGAGAAGAGTTCGTCAGACGACCGAAATAGTCAAAAAAATAGTGAATGATGTTATTGATTTTATGGTGGATTTTCGAAGATCCTCGGACAAAAATACATAAGCTACGAATAAGGTCATTATGAGTCTTGGCTCGACTCTTCAAACTGAAAAAAGTTCTCGTTCGAAGGTTCGCACTGAAATTCAGGATGATAATGCTAAGATGCAAACTTCTATTAATTCACGACTTGATACGCTTCAAGAGGACCTTGCTATCGAGAATTCGCTTATAGATAAATTTTTGGTGAAAACTGAGAAGATCAAAGTTCTTACTGTGCAACTATCGCATGAACAACAGTAGAATGATGAGCTCAAGTATGAAAAGGTTGTGATAAAAATTTGTGTTGGAGAAGTTAATCAATTCTTGTTGAATCTCATTGATACTCGTGATTCATTACTCACGGTCTCCGTTCGCCAACATCTAACTGATAAGCTTAAACCTGTCTTCTCAATGCTCAATCATATAGAAGGTGTTTCAGAGTCTAGCTCACTTCCGAAACAAGGGGAAAAGTCAAGAAACCAGTTGATGATTCTGGTGAACAAGAACATAAACCAACTCCAAAAGATCCAAAGGGTAATAAAGCTCTAGGATCAAAATTTAAATGAAAGTTGATGTATGATGAAGAAAAAGAATAGGATAAAGGTGTAAAGCTCAAATGAAAGTCTCATGATGAAAACCTGTGAATTGCGAGAGAAGCTGATGCTCGTAAAAAGGAGCTTCATGATGCACATGTAACATTAGAAACTCAAAAGATTATTTTCCTTCCTTGCACCATGGAGTGGATTATGAACAAAGTTATTGACAATCTGAGTATGTACTGGTTAGAGCCAGTTACTTCGTTTGATCTGGAGAACACTTTGCATTCGCATCTTGACCTACCAATTACTCTGAAGGCGTTCTAATTTTGTTGTTTTGATAAAATTGAAAAAGCACACACTAAAAACTACGATGTCGACCATTCACTTTTCTCTTTCTACCTCAAGTACGGGAAGCCTGAATATCAAAACTGGAGTTCAAATAAAATTACAGTTGTGAAAGTTATAGGGCCAATTAAAATGGAGAGCTTTATCAATGCCAAATTCAAAGTTGTCCGTGGTGCAAAAATTTCATTTTATGAGTTTACACTCAAAGACTTGTTGTGCCTTAACCCATATGACTGGATTTCCTTGTTCCATCTCTTATTACAAGATAAACAGAAGTTCAAACCCCTCGTGGCACATCTTAAAAGGATGTTGATCTCCTACATTCACGGAGTTATGAAAATGGATGTGGAGATAGCGACTATTTTACAAAAGAAGCCTACTTTTGAACCAAAAGAATCTCCAAATGATGTCACCAAGATGAGTTTGGGAAAAATTGAGAAGGATAACTTGAGTGTAACATTTCAACAAAGTGCTAATGAGGGTTCTAATTTTAAGAAATTCTTATTTTCTTTGTCGGACAAACATCTCTACTCTACTTCTTGTCTGAACTACATTGTGGTGATTACTGGACAATGCAAGGTGAATGATGTTGCCACCAAGAAGTGCTTCATAGATATGATAAAGTGGTACATATTAGTTCCTAACACCTCGCTTGGCTTAATGTCGAAACTTTTCAAAGTTCAGAAGAGTATTCAACATTGAAGAATCTTCCTTCCATATTGAAAAAAAGGGTGACATTGTTGGGATATTTATTGTGTTGTGTCAATTTTGATTATGCATGTATTTAGTCTTTATTGTTATCGGATTGGGAATGTCCATCCATCATTATGCTGCTAGGGTTAGACTATAAATATAGCATCCATGTATCGTTTTAGGGTTAATGTTTTTATGGCCCTACGTATCTTTACAAAGAAGTTCTAATTGAACTCTTCTAAGATATTGATAATAAAGCATTCAACACAATTTCAATCACATTCATTCTTTGTTCTTATTGTTTGATTCAACTAAACTGTTATGAATCTATCGATCACTACTTTTATTGTTTCAACACAATCTTGCCACTAGGGCTTCTCATGGTTACTTCCTTTCAATCCAAGAACCAAAATGACATAATTTAAAACCAATGGATGAATTTGAAAATACCTTGAAACCGGGTGTTACAAATATCCCCCACTAGAACTATACTTCGTCCTCGGAGTCTACTATCATGAACAAATCTGGGTAAAGCTCTCGCATCTCAGCCTCCGTCTCCCAGGTCCACTCAGAGCCCCTCCAATGTTGCCATCATACCTTTACCAAAGGTACATCCTTGCTACATAAAACCCTTACATTCCTTTCTAGAATAGCTACCGACCACTCAACATAGTTCAGGCGCTTATCAACCTGAATATCATCCAAGGAAACCACCGCATCCTCATCCAGTACGTACTTTTGCAGCTACGAAACATGGAAAGTGCTATGAATCTGATTGAGCTCCTCCGGAAGATCCAATCTGTAGGCAATCTTGCCAACCCTGGCGATCACTCGAAGTGACCAGATATACCGAGGACCCAATTTCCCCCTCTTCCTGAAGCAAATTACAACTATCCAAGGCGAGACCTTCAGTAACACCATGTTGACGACCTGAAATCCCAACTCAAATCGGTGCCAATCGGCATAGCCCTGAAATCTGAAGTCTCAAATCGGTTTTGATTTCTTGGCAGACCGAACATGCTAGAACATTGCTAATTCCATTCCATTGGTCTTCCAAATTTACTACTCCACTTCTGATTAGATGAGCTTCCCACTAGAAAATATAATTCCAACCCGCATGCTGATGTCCGAAACTTTTCAATTGACCGACCAAAATAGACATTCCCTCAACAAAAAAGATCATCCTGATAATAATGAATACCACAGATATAATGTACAATGCGATACAAACTGAGAGACAAACCTTCTAGTGCTGAACAAGACACTACTTCCTTTACCTGTTGAACTAACCTACCTGTATTGAAAATTCCAAGCCCTGCACAGATAAAAAAAAACAAAATGCAATCACAAGAACCTGATCTGCCCTCAAAACTAAAACCATCCTTTAACCCTGATCTTTTCTGCCGATACTTTGGCATTCATATTCCTTAATTCAATTCTTACCAGACAAAGTCCTTACATACCACACTCGCGATTCCCAACATGAGTTCCCCGAAGAAGCAACTCAGTACATAATTCCCAACCGGAGACCCAAGGATCAACACTTGTATCTCCTGAAATCTTTTGGTTCACGGAAACCCTTCACTAAACAAGGACATAAAGATCCCCAGACACTGCTGATACTGCCAATCTTACACCTAGGGCAGCCACCAGATTCCTAAGAGTCCAGAAGATAAGGCTACCATAGATTAAGCATCCCCCTGCACCACTCACTGCCCACATGACCATTCCTACAAAACCAAGCTCCAATACGTCAACCTAATAGCCTCTACCAGGTCCCACCTGTATTTTCGTATGCACACGGGCCTAGTCTGCGGATCCCGACCAAACTATAGCCACACAGGCCCGATTCCAC